CTGCAGATGAGGAAGGAGAAAGGGTCGGTGGAGGTCGAGAGAGGAATAATGCCCCGACCCCTGAAACTGGTGTTTGCTAAACTGCCTTTGGCGTTTACTAATCACTCCTGCCCTGTTCGATGATTCCTTCCTCGGACGTATCCACTGAAGGACTTCGCTCGTAGGGGTGGCTGATTGTCAATCGTACGCCCGTGTAGGAGTGGGGGGAGGTCAGGAGGAGGGGAGTGCAAGGTACAGTAGGTTTGTTTTGAACCTCCCACACACTACACTGCATTTCTACTCCGCTCCGCCTCCAGTCCCATCGTGGGCGATGTTCGTTCTGTGCTGCACCGAAGTTACCGCAGGCAATTTGGCCAGGAGAGATTCTCGGAGCCGAAACGCGTGAAAGGAAACTGAACACTGGCTACTTGTCTTCTACAAAGAAAACGGGTTCGGCTGCTTGAGGCTTGGTGCAGCAATCGCAGCTTAATGTGGGCCCCCATGCAAAGCGAGAAACCGAAGAGGCAAGAAAGGACACCCAACAGAAGTTCGTTCTGCCCCAGGAGCTTGGAGTACAAGGGTGCAGAAGTGCTCGAATTATGCAGCCACCCAACTGGAACACTGGAGCACATGTGAAAGCAGCAAGCGGCAGACTGAGACCTCCGCGCAAAAAGAGGTGGCGGAAGCAGGCTCTTTTCTTCTCTGTCCCGTGTAAGGCTGAGGCTGGCTGGCTTTTGAACCGCGGCACTTTCACCACGGCCAAAGGACGGCTTCCTTGCCGAAGCTCCTTTCGGATCCGGACGAAATTTGAAGTATCTGAGGCTGGAACAAGTGACGCTGCAAGAAATCTCCCCAGAGTGTGAGCACTCGCGCCGCCTGCGGAGACAGCTTGCAGCGTGCGCGAGATTAAATATTCAATGCGGAGCTGTACCAGCGGCGTGCCGATCAGACATTGTACTTCCAGACGGCGAGGGTGAATCAGCGCCCGGACGTAATGTAGGTCCAGGGCGGGCTCTGCAACGGGACTTCCCCTGATCTGCGCGTAGGCTGGTTGCCGTTTTGCTGGATATGGCATGGCTTCAACTCAAGGTTGAGGGCCATCAGGAAGATGAGGAGGAATTGGACCATCATGTGCCGCCTGCCTGGCAACCCTGCGCTTTTCCTTCTTGCGTAAACGCCGGGCTCGGCGCGCGCAGCTCGAAGTTTCCATAACAATTGAACATGACCATCGGAGACTGCAGCTTTGCCCTGTCCATCCTGAGCTCGCTCCTTGTCCAGAGCCGCTTGCGCAGAGGGCCGCACAGCCGTAAACATCACAGCGCCCGCAATCGCAGCCGCAGCAGCAATTTCGCCGCGGCGCGTGCTCCCGAGTCGCCGCCAGCACAACCGCCGCCACAAGGGAGGGGCCATCAGCAGCTGTGGCGCTCATGTATGCCTAGCAAGGGGAGACCTGGGGGGGGGGGGGCAGCTAACAAAATGTCGCTTCAGCCTTGGGGGTGTGCTCGTGTCGTTGTCGGTTGAGACTCGATCCAAAAGAAGAGGAGCAAGGATGAGCACAAGGATTCTGGCGAGAAGGAGGAGGACTAGAAAGAGGGACCAGGAGGAGGCTGCGCCCAGGACCCGCAGGGCCACTCGGTCTTCTGGGACGCACTGGCGTTCCAACGCGTGGACGTGGCCATGGTGCTGCTCCGGCACTTCCCGCCAGGCCACCCGGGACGTTCCAGAAAGGGCCGCGGATTTTCGCCACCATAGACAGGTGTCCTGAGCCGAGAGAAGAAACGTGGGGACCATGACCAAGATGTCGCCGAATCTTGCCGATGCCACGTTTGGTCATGGCCCATGTCTACTGTCGCCCATTCGCGAGGACGATCCACGAAGTGACGCTGACCAAGGTTGACGATGACTAAGATCGGCACGACTTTCCCCGGTCAGGCTTGGTCATGGCCCCCGTTTTTTTCTCCACCACCGAGGGTGACGGGTCCTGAGGTCGTTCTTTGCCTTTCGCCCCCGCGGCCTTCCACGGGCAGGAAACGGGCCCTGAGGGAGAACCTCCCCAGGACCATCGAGGAAGAAAAAAAACATTTCCATCGGTCGTTAAATGTAGGTAACTATGGGAGTCCCAATGCCCAATCTATTTCAAACGCCTTCTTCATTCAATCAACGATATGTTTTTTGGGATGAATGTTGTGATTATCAGGGACGCCCTGAAGCCAATCTACTTTATCCGCCTTCCTCCTTAATGTTGTTTCCCAACCCTCCTTGGCTGGGTATTCGTTTTGCATAGAGCACTGCTCGCGCGTCTTTCCTTCCGCCTCCCTCGTGTCTTCTCTTGCGTTGTGCGTACCTCTTGTGTGTGCATCTTGCCTGCGGTACCTCTTGTGTGTGCATCTTGCCTTGGGGGCTGCGATCTACGAAACCGTCGCCACTCTCGAGGGCTGCTGGGTGTGCCAGCATAGTGAATAGCCGCCGCAGACCCAAATTAGACCTCGCCATGCCTGGGGGGCTGCGATCTGCGAAACTGTCGGCACTTTCGAGGGCTGCTTGGGAGCCCAGCATAGTGGGTATATGCCGCAGACCCAAATTAGACCTCGCCATCCCTGGGGGGCTGCGATCTGCGAAACCGTAGCCACTTTCGAGGGCTGCTGGGGAGGCCGGCGTAATGGGCAACCGCTGCTGACCCGAACTAGACCACGCCATCCCTGGGGGGCTGCGATCTGCGAAACCGTCACCACTTTCGTGGGCGACTTGGGGGGGCCAGCATTGTGGGCAGCCGCCGCAGACCAAAATTAAACCTCGCCGTCCCTGGGGGGCTGCGATCTGCGAAACTGTCGCCACTTTCGAGGGTTGTCGGGGGGGGCAGCATAGAGGGTAGCCGCCGAAGATTCAAACTAGACCTCGCCATCCCTGGGGGGCTGCGATCTGCGAAACCGTCGCCACTTTCACGGGCTGCTGGGGAGGGCAGCAGAGTGGCACCCGCCGCATACCCAACTTTGACCTCGCCATGCAGTAACTGACAAGGGCTGCTGGGGGGGGCATAGCAGGCACCCGCCGCAGACCCAAATTAGATCTCGCCATCCCTGGGACGGCTGCGATTTGCGAAACTGTCGCCACTTTCACGGGCTGCTGGAGGGAGCAGCATAGTGAGTAGCGGCGCAGACCCAAATGATTGTTCGCCATCCATGTGGTTGGTGTGTGTGTGCGTGTGTGTGTGTGTGTGAATGTGTGTGTGTGTGTGTGGTGTGTGTGTGTGTTTGTTTGTGTGTGTGTGTGCGTAACATACTCAAACTTGGCACGGCGATCCCTGGGGTGCTGCCCTTTCCCTGATGGTTCAGGGGCTCAACTTGTTGATCATCTCCACCAAGCCCTTCTCTCTTGGTCGGGGACGTGAGAGCCTCCCGAATGCCGCTCGCACAAGTATATGCGTCCATGTCACGTCATCACACCCTTATTGAGGCTCCCGAGCTACTCATGCCTCGCATTGCGCAGGGGTTGGGTACGTCGCCAGGGTAATTACCTACTTCTTCCGACCGACGTGTGAGTGCACGCGTAGACCCAAATTTTTCGGAGCTCCGCGCGAATTTCTTGGATCTGCGCTGGAAGCCGCCTGGCAGCGCTTCCGGCGCCGCCCCTGACGCACTCCGCGCGCCAGGAAGGGTGGCCACTACTGGCCACTACTCGCACAGTGACGATTCGCAAACGTCTGAAGAAAACAAATAACGCATGCTTGCGTCGACGCCGTGGACCGTAAAAATCTCCACGCGGCGGATCCAGGCCATCTGCGAGCAGCTACTCTTGCGAGCGTGGGTGGAACGCGCTTGCCTACTCCTGTCTATGCTTTCTGCAGCTTTCTGCTCCTCTCGACCAGCTCTTCTCCTCCTCCTCCTCCTCCGCCTCCTCCTCCTCCTCCTCCTCCTCCTCCTCCTCCTCCTCCTCCTCCTCCTCCTCCTCCTCCTCCCCCCCCCCCTCCGAGCCCGCCGAGCCCGAGCCCGTGCCGTGACGGTCCCTAGGGGCCCGCGGCTGGCCCCTTAAGGGGCCCAAGGCCGGCGAGAGCGCATGGCCCTCGGCCTCCAGGGGGGCCGTGCGCTCCCCGGTGCCGAGGGGGCCTTCGCCGTGGCAGGGACGGCGCTCGCGCCGCGCCTCGCGGCAGCGCTCCGCGTGGCGGCGCGGGGGCTGCGGAGGAGGGGGAGGAGCACACAGACGAGCAGGAGGAGGAGGAGGAGGAGGAGGAGGAGGCCGTTGAGCAGGGAGGAAGAGGAGGAGGAGGAGTAGGAGAGGAGGAGGAGATAAGAATGAGAGGAAGGGGGAGGGGAGGGGGAGGGGGGAGGAGGAGGAGGAGGAGGAGGGGGGGAGGAGGGGGAGATGGGAGGAGGTAGGGAGGAGGAGGAGGAGAGGAGGAGGAGAGGAGGAGGAGGAGGAGGAGGGGGGGAGAAGGGGGGGAGGAGGAGGAGGAGGCAGAGAGGAGGCGGAGGGGGAGGAGGAGGGGCCGATTCCCCGGAAACTATGGAAAAGATGGGAGGTGGGGGGGATGACGAACACCGATAAGATACGGGAGAGCATGAGAGGAGTCTTGGGATCTGTGCGCGTATCTGTTTGTATGCCCCTGGGTCCCTTCAGCTGTGCAGACCACCCGCGCAGTGAGGAGGAGCAGCTGTCCAAGGTTGCCCCCTGCATCCCTCCCATGCGGCCCATCCCTGGCATCTTTTGCTGGCCCACTTCACCGGCAAAGCGTCGGCACGGCTCTCCAAGGCCCCCTGCATCTTTGCCCCTGCAGTCTTGTGGTACGGTCACGACTGTGTATGGCCACCGGACGCAGGCAATTTGCTTGCAGTCGCCATGATTTCGCAAACGTCGACCGTCTGTCGTCCGTCGTCGGTTGCACGTCGTCTGTCACAGTCGTCGTAACCGTCGTTGACGTCGTCGTCTTGTGTGCCTTCATCGTCCTGCGTTGTGCTGTTCTTCGTCTATCGTCGGTCGAGGACCTCCGAGGAGTTGTTACCTCCTACTGTTTGTGTACTTGTTTGCTCTCCTTGCCCCCCCCGAATGTCACAGGCGATTTGTTCGCCCCCAATCCCCGAGTCCCGCCGCGCAACAGCATGGTCGCTCCGAAGAGGTGTGAATTGCGGGGGTGCAGCCCGGGAGCCTCATCGTACATCCCCTAGCTTGGGCCCCAAACTGATGGTCCAGCAGAAGTCCCCGCAGAGTCGGAAATTTGGGTCACACTTGGAAGTCACAACAATAGCACTGCACAATCGATGTTCGGATGTTCGGAGGTCCGCGCGGATGGGCCCAGCGCCAATCCAAGAAATCTGCGGGAGCTCCGAAAGTTGAGATCTATGCAGCCGCTTGTACTTCTACGGGTCCAGTCGGAAACCCACAAAGCCGGGGAGCAGGTCAGAAGAGGAGCAGGTACCAATACCTCTACCCTTCCCTCGGTTTCCCCTTTTGGGCCGCCTGGGCGGCCCTCGTCGCCACCGCTGGATTCGCTTTTAAATCCTGGTCAGAACGTACCCCGGGAGAGTGCAGGCCTCCTAGATGGAGTCGGAGTAGATGGGGTCGGAGGATCGCGCCGCATCGCCGATGCATTGCCGATGCGGCTCGATGTGGGGCCCGATTTACTTCACGTCGACGTCGCCGATGCATCGCCGATGTATCGGCGATGCGGCGCGATCCTCCGACCCCATCTACTCCGACCCCATCCAGGGGGCCAGAAAGGTCCAGGGAGTAGCAGTATCGGTACCTTGTAGTCTCCCCAGTAGGGTCTCACCGGTGCCCTCCGTGAGAGAAGGCATGCCGCACGGCGTATGCCTCGGCGAGCAGCACAAGCGCAACGGCAATTCCCTCCTGCACTTGGCCGCCGGGGTCTCCTGCTTCTCGCAGAACGCCGAGGCGCTCCTCGGCGCCGCGCTGTGCCATCGGGGGAGCAGGAGCGGGATGCGATCACAGACCCCCTGGAGTCATGCCAGAGTCACGACGGGAGGTGTTTACAATTTTCTCCGAGCAGGCTTGCTTAATTACACGAGTCCTAGCTCCATCCGTACAGAACTGGTCCACTGCTACCCCCTCCCACCCCCCAAGGTTGCTCCATACGATTGCAATGACTTCCTCTGATTGCAATGGCTCCATTTACTATTTCAATGGCAATGGCTTCCTCTGCCGTTGCAGTAGCGTCCTGTGGCTAGTCCAACAGCATCCCATCCGTCGTTCAGCAATCGTCAAACTCAGAAATAGGTTAGGGCAGAGTTGTGCAGGGAAGATGCGAGGAGTAGAGTGGATCATAATGGAGAATAGAGTAGATCAGAGTAGAGTAGGGCACGACTAGAGTAGAGAACAGGATGGTTGAGTAAAGAAGGAGTGGAGTAGGAGAAGGTGTATTACAGTAGAGTCGAGTAAGTCCGGGTGGAGAGGGGTAGGGTAGAGCAGAGTGGAGCAGAGTATAATAGGGTATATGCTAGAGTCGAGTCGTGTATAGTAGAGTGGAGTAGAGTCGAGTGAAGTAGGGGAGGAGAAGAGAGGAGAGTCGAGTAGAGCAGATTAGAGTAGAGGAGAGTAGAGTAGAGTTTAGTGGAGGAGAGCAGAGTAGAGGAGGAGTAGGAGTAGAGTAGAAGTAGAGTAGAGTAGAGTAGAGTAGAGTAGAGTAGAGTACAGTTGTTCATGGTAGAGTAGAGTAGGTGAGGAAATGGTCGGGTAGGGCAGAGTATAATAGGGAAGAGTAGAGCAGCGCAGATGAGAGTGGGGTAGATGGTAGAGTCGAGTCGGATAGACTGGATTATGTTAGAGTGGAGTACATGAGATGACAGGATGCTGGAGTAGAGTAGAGCGTAATTCAGCAAGAGTGGCGATAGGGAAAGTAGGGTTGAGTTGGGTAGAGTAGTGTAGAATAAATAGGGTAGGGTCGGATAGGGTCGGGTAAGGTAGACTAGAGTAGAGTAGGGTAGACTAGAGTAGAGTAGAGTAGAGTAGAGTAGAGTGAAGTATTCTCATACGCACCTCTCCGAGGAAGTAGATCTCAGAGGCGATTAATTCAAGGTCGCGCCGCGTCCGCGATTTCTCTGGCCGTTTCGCAAGGGATATCCTCGAAATTCTGAAAATCGGTGGCACCCGTCACGCAGATCGTGACGTCAGGGTCCAACAACACATGGGAATTTCAACATTCTAACATAAAACCTTCAAACACACCATGTAATTTCAATGATTTTCATTCCGATTCTCAAAGACTAGCGGTTTCGCCTGAGACATCCTCCGAACATCGAGCCCCGACGTACCTTCTGGTACCCCAGACCCCGCCTCGGAGCCTCCTGGGGGCCTCCCGGCCACTTTCGCCGTCCTCGCAATTCTGAATTCCGAGATGCCTTGAACTAAGGTGGTTCAGCCACTTCCGCTTGAGACACCCTCTTTACTCTGGATTCCGAGATGCCCTGTCCCGTGGTGTCTGGCCATTTTCGCTTGCGACACCCTCGCAATTCTGGGTTCCGAGATGTTCTGAACTTAGATGTTCAGGCCTTTTTCGCCAGGAACGTCCTCGCAGACTCTGGGTTCCGAGATGCCCTGAGCTGAGGTGGTCACGCCACTTTCGCCTGAGACATCCTTGCAACGCTGACCTCTCGTCGATCCTCCTGCTCGATCCCCAATCCTTTCGGGGGGCTCTTCCTCGATCTTAGATTCTTCTGCGTTCACCTCCTGCCTCTCCCCCTTCTCTCAGGCACACCCTGGCGGCGCCGCGCCAGCTTCCCCTTCCCCATCTCCGATCCCGCCGTCATGGCGTCTTCCTGCTCCAAACGACCTTTCAGTTTGTTGTATGAGCCTGGCCACACACGTGCCACTTGTACTAAAGTAGAGCATCGTAGAGTAGAGTACAGGAGAGTAGATGAGTAGCGTCGAGTTACAGAGTAGAGTAGAGCAGAGTAGAGTCGATGAGGAGAGCAGCGGGATAGGAGCGACGACCGCAACGACAGGAGGAAGGAGGAGAGGAGGAGGAAAAGGATGAGGAGATGAGGAGGAGGAGGAGGAGGGAGGAGGAGGAGAGGAGGAGAGGAGGAAAACGAGGAGGAGGAGGAAAACGAGGAGGAGGAGGAGGAGGAGGAGGAGGAGAAGGAGGAGGAGGAGGAGGGGGACAGCCCTATCAGTTCGAACCCTGTCAGGGAGGCGGGAGTGGGAGGAAGAGGAGGATGGCGATGATAGCCGTGTCGGTTTGAATCCTGGGGGAGCAGGGAGCGGGAGGAAGAGGACGATGATGGTGATAGCTCTAATTATCGGTGGGGGGGAGGGAAAGGGGAGGAGGAGGATGAGGAGAAGGATGAGGAGGAGGAAGAGAAGGAAAGTCATAGCCCTACTATCGGCTCTGGACTGTTTGGGAGGAAGAGGGGGAGGAGGAGGAGGAGGAGGAGGAGGAGGAGGAGGAGGAGGAGGAGGAGGAGGAGGCGGCTGAGGAGGCGATGGCTGCAATCACCAATCTCGACTGCCACCAGTTCCAGGCTTCAGGCTGAGGAAGAGGAGAAGGTGGAGGCGGAGGAGGAGAAGGTGGAGGCGGAGGAGGAGGAGGACCTCGTGATGCTCCCCCCACCAGCTGCCGAGGCGCTCTTTGCCGCCCTGTTCGAGCAAGTGCCCGACGGGCTGAAGATGCACAGGAACAAGAAGGGCCAGACAATCGCCCACACCGCGGCCTCGCGCTCGAACTTCTGGGTCCTCCGCTTCCTGGCGGCGCGCGGCCTCGACCCGCTCTTCGTCGTGGAGGACCACGAGGGCCTGACCCCGCGCAAGCTGTTGGAGAGGACGCTGCGGGCCGGGGCGCGGGGGCGGCCTTCCACTGCGAGGGCCCCCCGCCTCCTTGGCTCCCGCTGGGAGGCCTCTGAGAAGCGCTGCGTGAGGCCCGCGAGACTCGGCCAGCCCTTCTTGAACGACCCGCCGCCCACTCGGGAAGGCCGACCCCGTTCCACCAGCTTTCGTCCAGGCCCCCCCCCCCCGACTAGGTTTTCGAGCTGCGCCCGCCGGTCTCGGTCGGTCCGGCTGCGTCGCAGTCGGTTGCGTTCGGTCGGTTCGGGTTCGGTCGGCGGTGGTGTCGCTGGGGCGTCGGTGCGGATTTCTGGGCTGCCTGCGGCTTGTCCGTCGGTCGGTCTCGGCGTCGTCGCCGGTTCCGCAGGTATCTTTCAAAATGTGTCCGTCAATCTGCTGCCCCCGAGCTCCCGACCCCTGCCTAGAGGTCGTTTTGCGTCCCAGGTCCGTGTCTGGTTGCCCGAGAGCAGCCCACGTTGGCCGAGATGTGGAGGAAGAATGTCGGCGGCCCCGATCTGTCGCGGTGTTCGGCTGTGCTTCCGCTGTGGACGGCCCAGCTTCCGGCGCGCCTCCAGGAATCGTCCGTCGTCCGTCTTCTGTCCGTCCTCCGTCCTCCGTCCCCCGTCATCCGTCCTCGTCCTCGTCCTCGTCCTCGTCTGCGTGTGTCTCTGCGTCTGGGTTGTCTGCGTCGTCTGCGTCGTCGTCTTGGCGTCGTCGCCGCTGCCACCGTCCTGGCTGTCTTCCTCTGCGTCGTCGCTGTCTGCGTCGTCGTCGTCGTCGTCGTCGTCGTCGTCGTCGTCGTCGTCGTCGTCGTCGTCGTCTGCGGGGTCGTCTGCGGGGTCGTCCGTCTTCGTCGTCGCCGCCGCCCGCAGGACCCTGGACGGCTGGGGCGTGCCGGGGCCGCTCGAGCGCCTGGACGCCACCGCGTCGCGCATGCCCTCCTGGTGCCCGCTGGGCGCCTTCCAGCCCCCCGCGGCGGGCCACCGGCCGGCCCTCTCCGACGTGGTCGTGACGGTCGAGGACACTCCGAGAGCCCACCAGGCCTCTCCCAGACATCAGCGTCCTGGGAAAAAAAAACAGGTGCTTTTTAAAAAAAAAGAAGAGAATATGAACGGAGGCTGTTCGTCGTTTTCGGCCTCTGAGGGCCCTCGTCGGGCCCCGGGACCATCAGACGATGACTCAGGACGACAAGGCTTAAAAGGACGCGAAGATCGGGACAAAATCGGATCGGGATAACTCGAAATCTCTGAGAAGCGGCGGGTTTGGAGCATGTGTTGGTCGCCGCGGCCGCTCTCAGAGCGCTCCGGGACGCTCTGAGAGCGCTCCGGAACGCTCTGGAGCGACTTATCCCGATCCTAGCCCTGTTTTAACACTCCGAGAGCCCAGACCTCTCCCAGACACCAGCGTCCTGAGAAAAAGCACAGGTGCTATTTTCAATGAAAAGAATGACTCTCCCAGACATCAGCGTCCTGAGAGAAAGCACAGGTGTTTTTTATTCAATGGAGAGAATAAGAACGGAGGCTGTTCGTCGTTTCCGACCCCTGAGGGCCCTCGTCGGGCCCCGGGACCCTCAGACGACGACTCCGGACGGCAAGGCCGGTCCTGGGCAAAGGGTCGCGACTTCTGGGAACCCTGTATGGAAGAAATAGGACATCGGGCTCGCAACGTGCAAACATCGCGAAGGCAGTTCTTGCCCATTCAGAGCAGGACTCACTGCTGGTGTCGCCGCGGGCGTTGTCCACTTGAGGCAGAAAGTCGCCTGCCCAACAGCGGCCGCTGTCGGTGTTGGACAACATTTTGCGCTGTTGGGCATCGTAGAGGGTTACCTACTTCTGGCGTTCGAAGAGGATCCGCAGAGCCCAGATCCTCTTGCGTCGTGGAAAGAAAGGCGGGAGTTGTTAGCAGGTTTTCGAGCATCTGCGTCGCTCCTGCGAGTTTCTGTGCACCCACGGGATGCCCTCCTGCAGCTGCACCTCGCCGAGGGCGCTCCGGCGGTGCCTACCTCTTCCCTATCGGCTGCCGGGGGCGAGAATGCCTTGCCCCGTCCTGGCAAAATCACGACGGGAAGTTTGCGGACACTGTCGGCCTCGGGGGGGGCTCTTGCCGACCCGTGGCAACGGCTCTGGTCGAATCGCGGGCCCCGATGAAGTGGTCCAAACCTCCTGGGTGGATGGCGTACAGCGTAGGCCCATGCCAAGAAACACCCTGCTTGCCTCCAGGGTGCCCTGGGTTTCTTGGGTTTCGATGGCTTTGCTGTGGGAAGCGTGACGTTCCAACACCAAACATCGATGGACGTCCTGGGGTCTCAGGGTTGGGTGTCTTGTTCGGCGATTTGGATCTGTCACGTGATGCGAACCTGAGGGAAGAAGAGGAGGATCCGGTAGGGAGAGGGGACTTCGCATGGCGCCCCCCCTCTGTGTAGATCCAAATCGGGCACGCCCCGCTACAGCAGGAATCGATTCAGAAATCATCAAAGAGTCGTCGGGGGACGATGTTCTTCTTTACTATTCTTGAGCTTTTTCTGACTTGTTGTTACTCCTTCGCTCAGAATCCGCCTGTAGGGGAACACGCCCGACCCAAGTGCAGATCGCTCCTGGCCTCCAGGAGGGCGTGCACGCCAGGCAGTGCAGGGCCCACGACCGTGGCCAAGAGCCCGGGCACGGCCCCAGACGGCCTCCGACGGGCTTCTGCTGGTGTGCACCTGGCCCCAGACCTCCAACGCATTGAAAAAATCAAGACGGAGGTTTTTATCGATTTTCGGCCTCTAGGGGCCCTCGCCGGGCCCCGGGACCGTCGAAAAACGACCCCGGATGAGAATCCGGTCCTGAGGAATGGGTCGAGACTTCGGGGGACCGCGTATTGAAACAATCGCGACGTCGGATCTCTGGGGCGCCCCCGCAGAGACACAGACCGCTATCCCCCGGCCGGGGCGCTCGCCCCGGATCCACCTTTGATGGTCCCGGAGGCCCGACCGTCCCAGATGGTCTGGTACCGGAAATTTTCGGTAGCGATTTCGACGCGCCCCGAATTTCGGTAGCGACCGGATCTTCGTTTGAGGGCGTTGAAATAGCGGATTTCAGAACGGTCTGATACCGGTATTGGGCGCTACATTTCGGTATTTCGGTAGCGACCGATCTCTGCGGAGCGCTACCAGAAATTTTCGGTAGCGACCATCAGGGGGAGCGCGGGCCCCGGGCCGAGAGCGCTCGAGGAAGAAGAAAACACCGCTGACAGAAACGTGTGGCGCTCCGCGCGGGTCTCTTGCATCCGCGCCGGGCCCCCCCCCTGGGCGGCGCCTCGCGGGCGCTGCCCCGGGCGCGCCCCGCGCTCCGGGGAGGGGGGGCCGGTGCACAGATCCAGGAAATATCCGCGCGGAGCGCCAACAGTTTATGTGCCTACCCCGCTTTCGCTTCCAGGGGCCTGACCAGTACAGGCTGCAACTTGGTATCGTTTGGTATCTCTCGGAAGCGAGGGTGGTCAAACGCGAGGTAGGTTTGTTTTCCCCCTATGTATGGCGTTTGTCCTCCTTCTATGTGCTCGCTCCGGATGCGCCTCTGCTGGTCCCGGGGGCCCGAGCACGGGCCCCGGGCCGACGTCGAGCGCAAGCCGCCAGGATAGTCCAGGGCATGTCGGCGGCGATTGGAGTGTGCAGGTGCCTCCCCAGGACTCCAGGCCTCCCAGACGGGGTCGAGAAGTGGGCGTGGGGTCGGAGCGTCGCGCCGCACCGCCGCTGCATCACCGATGCGGCTCGATGTGGATTCCGGTCTTCTCCCCGCGCCGACGACGCTGCACCGCCGATGCGTCGCCGATACACCGCCGATGCATCGGTGATGCACTGGTGATGCATCTCGACGATGCGGCGTGATCCTCCGACCCCATCTGCTCCGACCCCACCTGGAAGGCCTAGGAGGAGGAGGCGGAGGAGGAGGAGGAGGAAGAGGAGGCGGAGCAGGAGGAGGAGGCGGAGGAGGAGGAGGAGCAGGAGGAGGAGGCGGAGGAGGAGGAGGAGGAGGAGGAGCGAGAGGAGCAGTCCTCTCAGGACGCGGCCCGCGGCCCGGTCCACTTGCACGCGCACCGCGTCATCCTGGCCTCGAGCTCCGACGTGTGGCACCGCGCCCTGGAGGCCGAGGTTCAGGAGGGAACAAAACACACACAGACACAATGCATCGTCGACTCCCAGGGAACAGATGGGAAAATAATTAGGGGAAGTGGGGGGGGAGACGAGAGCCCAGAAAATAGGGGAAGACATGGGGAATGCTGTTAGTTGTGTCTTCTTTTGCTTGTGTTTGTGTGTGTGTGTGTGTGTGTCCCTGGGCCCCTTTAGAGGTGCTGCCGGCGGGCTCGGAGGGCGCCAGCGGCGCCGTGCTGCTGGCGCTGGACGCCCAGCAGTGCAGCAGCGCCGAGGCTCACAGTTTTGCATCTTCGGGGGACCGTCTCCGTGTCGCCCAACATTATGGGCTCCCCAACATCGACCCCCGATCGCCCATTCATCTCGGGCCGGACGAAAGGGGGGGAGGGGGGGCTACGAAATCTGCTGCATGCAGCTGGTTTCGGCCCCACCGAGGGGCCCATTCCTCGATACATGGCCGCCTCCGGCGCCGGGAGGCGCCGGGAAAGTCAGCTGCGTGAGCTGATTCTCACCCCCCCCTTTGCTATCCCCCCCTTGTCGGGGGTGGACGGACCTCCTAATTACCCTGACACGTCGATTGGCGAATTGGCCGCTTTCGGTTCGCGAGAGGGCGTCGCGGCCGTCGATTTTGCTGGTCCAGGCCCATCGGTTTTGGTCCCAGGCCGGTTTCACTTAGGGGAGGTTTACTGAAGGGAGGTTTGTCCACTGCCCATTGTGTCAGATTTCGGAAGCCTGGAGGTCGACACCAACACTAAGCCGGGCACGTCCCTCCGCAGGAGGAATATTCAAGAGTAGTCACCAAAAAAAGTATGGGATTTGTTGTGTGTGGCAATGTTTGTTGTGTTTGTTTATTTTGTTGTCCATTGTTTTATTTGTCGTCCAACATCGGCGTGTAGGGGGGACAGGCTCGGCTCAGTGCCAGCACCAGTCTCGGCGGGAAACTCCACCGAGGGGCGATGATCCTGATCACTGTGATATATTCGGGCTTCTCAGGTGGCGGAGAGCTCACCCCCAGCACCAATATCCAGGATTGTCTTCCCTGGGTGGAGGCAGTCCCTTGTGTTGGTGTCGATGCTGTTTCCAAGCCGCAGACACTAATTTGCGGTCTTCTCTTGCATCCTCCGCAAGTTCAACGCGGATCCGACGTGGGTGCGTGGATCCGACGTGGATTCAACGCGGATCCGAAGCGAAAAGGCGATGGGACAGAGGAGATCCCCCGAAGATCCAGCAGCGCCAAGGCGGCTCTGTTCGCCCTGCGCTTCCTGTACACGGGTGAGGTGGACTGCCCCTTCAGGATCAGGGGGAGCGTGAGGTTTTTTCGGGCGCTCTCACTGGTTCTCGGCGCCTCTCAGGCCTCGGGGTGCTCTCCGGCAGCTGCGCCTCGCCGAGAGCGTTCCCGGGGTGCACGAACGGCCAGAGAGTCGAGTACGTGACCAGATATCCTAGGGGCAACGCTTGGGGGGGATGGGCTCCGTAGGGACAGACGTCTCAGGAGCGAAAGACGGAGGTACATGTACAGAAATCCAATCTGGTTTCGAGAGTACGCATTGCCCGAGTGTTCGTATCACCCGGCCAGCCGGGATCGAGGGGCCGCGTTCGTGTACATAGCTGGCCGCGTACGTCCATTATGGGCTCCCCAACATCGACCCCCGATCGATCGCCCATTCATCTCGGGCCGGACGAAAGGGGGGGAGGGGGGCGGGTTTCGGCCCCACCGAGGGGCCCATTCCTCGATACATGGCCGCCTCCGGCGCCGGGAGGCGCCGGGAAAAGCAGCTGCGTGAGCTGATTCTCCCCCCCCCTCGCTTTGCTATCCCTGAAACGACGCGAAGATCGGGACAAAATCGGATCGGGACAACTCGAAATCTCTGAGAATCGGCGGGTTTGGAAGATGAATTGGGCGCCGCGGCCGCTCCAGAGCGTTCCGGAACGCTCTGAGAGCGCTCCGGAACGCTCTGGAGCGATTCATCCCGATCCTACTGCGATCGTCGCCCTGCTTTGCTCTCGGTTAGCGCGGATAGTACATTGGTTACACTGTGCTCGTATAAGTAGGTTAACTAAGTCAGTTGCATACAGGTTATCCTATGTTGGCTATCCGTTTTCGCCTAACCAGGTTATCCACTTAGCCTACTTCGGCTAACCAGGTTAGCAAATTGCCGCTAACCTACTTAACGTCCGATGGTTTGGGCCCTCTCGGGGCCTCCACGTCGTCATCATCGTCGCCGTCGCCGTCGCCGACGCCGACGACGCCGACGACGACGAAGGGGGGAGGTGCCCGTGTGCCGTCCGCGTGCACCAATGTACTATCCGTGCAAGCCGAGAGCAAAGCGGGTGGGTTTGCTCCTCATAGCTTGCACCGCATCGCTTTCACCACAAAGCTCACACCGCATAGCTTGCACAACATAGCTTATACCACATAGCTTACACCGCATCGCTTTCACCTCCACAATGCAATAACTCACAGTTCGGGGTCACGCTAGCTAACATTTGAGCAGGATTTCGAGGCGGATCCAGCCGTGGCGACGACGAGCACCCCCTGCAGGGACCCGAAAAAAAGGCAAACAGCGCCCGAAAACCCTGGGGGCGGGTCGAAACCTTACAATTCTGATGTTTTTTTTCGCTTAGGTGAAGGAGGGGGAGGGGGTGCAAGGGGGGGAGGAGATGGGGGGCGAGAGAGGTCGTGTCGCGCCGCCCCGCTCGGCTGCCCGCCCCCGCCCGCCCGCCGTCGACGGCATGACCGTGACGGAGAGAGCGACCGAGAGAGAGCGAGCGGCCTCGGCCGCCCCGAGCTTCGAGGATCAACGATCGAGGAATCGAGGATCGAGGTTCGAAGGATCGAGGACCGAGGTTCGAGGGGGATCGAGGATCGACAGGGTTCTCGAGGGATCGAGGATCGAGCTTCGAACTTCGAGGATCAGGGTCCTAGGAGGATGGGGGCCCAGCGGGCCCGCGCCTTTGAGGCCCGTCGAGCGGGCCTGGGACCGCGGGAAAACCAAAATTGGGTTCACCGCTTTTGCTGGGAGGGGTGATGTCGGCGCTGGCTTTGGTGTTGGAGCGGTCTGATATGAGTTGCACCTGTGGGGCTGGTCACAGGAACCCATGCTGAACTGCGGTAGATCGTAGATTGCACCACATACATTGCACCGCGTATATTGCACGACATATGCCGTACATCACCACATAGATTGCACCGCATATATGCCAAGAGCGCCCCACAGTTCCAATATCACACACGCACATGTGTACACGGATGCTGGGCGACCGATTGGGCAACGCAATCCGCCGACCCAAATGATGACGATGCTGGTGTTGAGGATGGCGGACGGCGCTTGCGAGCAAGCTCGCATCGCGACGGTGACGATGATTGCGATGGCATGCGTACATTTGCTTCGCATAGCGGCAGGAACAATCACTCGCGAAATACAGTTCTCTGCTGTGTCAGAATAAATTAAACTACAAGAAATTCTGCTGCTGGCCACAATGGTTGGACATGATGAGACTTTGCGGTACTTACAACAGCCGTTGCCATCTTCAACGAAAGGCCAAGGCGACACGCAGCTCCAGCTGAACCCGTCCACCTCGGCGTGAAACCACACCTCTGCAACCACCCCGCCCGAATCTATTGCCACGACGTCGTTGGCCATTACCGTCCTGTGGCATGCCACAAGACGCCTCGAGGACCTAACGGCCCTCGCGCCACTGATCGCTGACCTCATTGCCTCGACCACTTTCCGATGGGCATCCTTCAGCCCCCGCAAGGGCCCGCTGTCCAAAGAGGCGCTGATGTCATGCATGCCTTGGCACGTCATGTCCTCGAGGACTCCAGTGTCGAAGCTGGTGGTGTTGTGCCGATTGGTGCACATGGCTTTCAGAACTCTGTGTTTTCTCTCTTGTACAAACGTGTTAAGTAAGAAGCCAAACTTCTGCAGCATCGGCGCTAAATGAACACTGTAGTGGTGCTTTGGGATCCAGATCTCGCGCCCGTAAGCGTCAACGTGGGCGCGCAAATGCGAGAGCACAGCGGTCTCCAGCTCTCTCGGGGCAACAGCGTTCACGATTGTCAGCGTTCCCACCAGATCGCACAAGAGAAGGGCACTGGCGACTTCCTTAGCACAAACCCCAGTCGGGCGAACAACGTTCATCAAATACAATGCAATGACTGGCGTTGCCGATAGCATCTCTGAGGCAGATCCCCCGAACTTGCCGTCACAACATACTTTCGCACCAGATTCGTAACCGCCTGGCCAACAAAATTTCGTCAAGAATGCCCCGAGCTGCGCGTGCCCTAACGAGTGCGCGTCCAGTCGGCCAAGCAGCGCGCACATCTCGACCACGAAAGTGCCGCTGATGAACAGGATGTGCATCCAATCGAACATTATCAAGTTGGGCATGTCTAGAGAAAGCACGGGGCATAGAAACGCATTTTCGTCCGAGTGGTTGAAGCCAAGGAATGTTTCCAACTGGGGAAGGTCGTTGCCGCCCCCATGCGCCACGGCTTGCAACCTCTCGAGAACTCTCGTGACGGTGTCCTTCGTGTGGACCACATACTTGTCCACTTCTAAACATGCACTCGAGATAAGACGCCCCGTGTGGTCAGGCAGCCACGGGCATTTGTGAGAGACC